ACTAGGGAAAAGAGAGAGATCTGTACATATATATGTGAATCAGGCATGCTTGTCATGAAAGAAATTCATTTCACAAGCCCACTGACAAGTTTAGACTAATGTGCAGATGTTATCTATTACACTCACAAAGCTCTTTTTAACCTATGTCATCATAGAGAATGATCAACTTCCATGTCACAATTATCTCCTGAGCCAAGCCTGTAATGATGCTGGTGCTTTACAGATTATCTAAAACAGAAAAACACATCTGATGTTTTCCCTTGTGAATCTGGTGATTGGTTGCTGAGAAAATCCTCACCTTTTCCTTCAGTCACATCCTTTTCTTTCATCACAGTCCTACTCTGCCTAAACATTTCATGTCTGTCAAGCAGACTCAGAAGACTGGAGACTGGCTTAACTTGAGAAATAGTTTTGGCATGTTGTATTTGCTGGTTCTTTCAGAGTATACTTAGGTCAATTCTATGCATAAATTTAGAAATTCATTGTTTTAATTGATGGTCTCATAGGACTATGGGTTCCGAGAAACTCTGCTGAAAGTAGATTAGCAAGTATCACGTTGTAATAGCCTTTGCCTTCACAAGCTGTTTACCAGCATATAAGGGCAGAAATCTTTTTCAGCCCCAAATTTCACTGAAGGCAGAGGCTAAATCAGTGCTGTAGGACCTAACAATGTCAGGACTCTGCATGGCTCTGGGAGGGACTGTGGAAAACTCTGAGTTACCCTGTGGCTTAATCAGACCTCAGTACTGGCAAGACAAAAGGATGAAATGATGACAGGAGGACTTCCACTCTTCTAAAATCCTGTAAACAAGAAGCAAGGATTAACTTGAGGGCTTGAGAAACAGTTTCTCACCTTATTTTCACTGACATGCTCTGACAATATATAAGATAGTATCACAGTACTTGTGCAAGCAATGAAATCAAAGTTTTATAACCGTGCTGTTGTTTAACAGGATTAGTTTTCTGTTCTGAGGTGTTTTTTTCAACTGTCATTTTACCTGCAGAATGCAAAAAAAAAAAAAAAAAAAAAAAAGAGGAGTGCAAGTCAGGGCTGATTTTGAAACATTTTCAGGGTGAGGTTTTCCTCTGTAGCGCATCCCCTCAGTGCTACCCTGGTAATGCTGCAAGTCTGACCCTGCCTCTGCTGAGTGTGAGGGGCTCTCCTTGTCAGCCTGCTGGAGGTGTAGCTTGGGACAGAACTTGAATTGTGCCAGTTGTCAGAGGGAGGGAATGTGTTTCCAGGTGGCAGGAGAGGGCTGGAGCAACCTGCTCGGAGGCTGAGCTGTGCTAAGGCAGGACAGAAGGTGACAAAGCCACAGCAAACGTCCCTGTGGTCTGCCCCTGCTGCCTGGCCAAGCAAACCTCAGGTCAGGACAGTGTGGCCCAGTCTGGTTTAAAGGATTATTCCAAACTGGATTTTGAATATATCGAAGAAAATTGCCACAGAACCTACAGAATCTTTTGGGGGTTTTGTGTGATAAGAAGATTTCAAGGAGATTAAACCAATGCAACCCTGATCTTTGTTTAAAATACCTGTCATAAATCAGTCTTGGAGCTTTTCTAAGGCATTTTGGAGGAAAATTTGCTTCCAGAGTGATTCATAGATTTTTCACTAATTAGCTCAACAGCAGTTCCACTTTCTCAAAAGCAGGCACTGAAGCAGCCTAAATCCAGATTTAATGTCCATTAAAAAGGAAATGCTTTAGTGTTGGGATTTATATCAGTGTTCTGGTTCTCAGGAAAGTACTGCATTTTTATAAAAAAGAAGCTCTTTTTTTTTTTGGGCCAAATTCAAACCAAACCACAGGATAGATTGGTACAATATTATTTATGTGGGTAAGCTTGATGTGAGCTTATGATAAATCTGAATATGGTTTTTCAGAGACTGTGGCAGCAGGATTGAGGAAATAATTTGACCAATTAGGGATGTAAGTTTTGCAAAACCAAATGCCTACAAAAGTTATAGTGTTGCTTTCAGAGTTTAAGCCATTCTCCAGCTTTTCAAATTATGGTGTCACAGAAATTGGAGGAGAAAGGTATGAAGAGAGCAAATGTAATGGATTGTGTTCCTTTCCCACAGCATCTCACCTATATGTGTCACTCCTGACAGATGTTAGAGTAACATGCCATGAAATCCTCCACTGAAAGAGGTTTCAGTGCCATAACTGAAATGCAACTTATTCTTGCCTGTCATTAATCTCAGTTGTAGAAAGCTTTTCTCAAGTGTGGAGTCTCCTTTGTTGCCCTTCAAGACTATAGTATATAATATAGTACCAGATTGCAGATTGTTACTGCTTCAGGACAAGTATTTATATTTTTGTTATCACCTTTCTCCATAGTCTTTCCTTCTGTTACGCTTCCCTGGTCTTTGAGCTTGTTTCCCTAAATCCTTATATGGGATCTCTGATAATCCATACTGGCATTTTTCTGGACTTTCTCCAACTTGCCCAAGTCTTTTTGGTCTAGACCTTATCACAAAAAGTAGAGTGCAAGGATTACCTCCCAGGCCTCAAACAAGACACTCCTGCTAACACACAGCTTGCTTTTGCAGCAGCACAACCCCATTAACTCTGGCTTAGTTTGTTTCATTTTCTACAGAACGATGGGTTACAATGAAATGTTACAATGAAATGTTAGAATGTTATCTCTGCACACCTTGCCCCATCTGGCTTGTAGAGCCTTCTTAAGGAGCAGTGAAGTGACTCCCCAGGTTCTCCTTGTAAAGAAAGAAATCAAAAAACTGTGATTTTTACAGTTGGCTTTATCATAACTTGTCCTTACCTGAAAGATCTTGAGTAGCTGTTATGAAGAATAAACTTAGAGCAGAGACCTGAATCACACTCACCTCCCTCATGGAGAATTTACTGTGTTTGTGGATCATGGCATCATCACTGCCTCCCCTTTCATTTTTGTAGGGTCCACTTTTCTCTGACATGAACCAATCATGGAAATGAAGATTTTACCTGTGCAGCTCACAGTCCTATCTTTCTTGAAGAATTACATTTAAATATTGAACAAAAATTGCACTATAATATATAAATGCAATATTTTTGTTTACCAGCATCCTATCTGATAGCATTTCAGAACTTCACTACAGTATCTGTGTGGCTTCTCAACATAATGGCAATATTTACAGTAGAAAAAATGATCACTCTTTAAAATATATTGGTTAAATGATATCAAAGAGTATAATATTGTAAGAAGTTGCATTTAGTGTAGAGAAAGTCACTATAAAATAGCCCAGAATTTTCTTATTCTCTACAAATTAAAACAAATTTATCTGAAAATGATATTCCTTTTACTTGGAGCTGGGGGTTGCATTAAACAATCTGATTTCTTGAAATAAATAAATAAAAAGAATCCCATCATTCTGAAGCTTTCTATTTAATCTGCTTTGAATCTATACCCAGCACTGAAAAAGGCAGAAAAGTCCCTTGGAACAGATTGTTTCAGTAAATGTCTCACTTTCTTAGTGCAATGCTGCAAAGTACCCCTCTCTGCTAGATTTTCCATGAACGTTTAACCTCTAGTTCTGGATTTATCAAGCAACAAAAGAACGTCATCCTGTGAAAATCCTCTTTTTTACAGCTTCAAAAATAGACAAACTGGACAACTGCCCTTCTTCTCCATCTCATGTACAGGAGAAATTTGCAAAAAAGAAGATATGTTTGGGGAGAGCAGATGACATATAGCTAAGGGGGAGGGGGGAAATCGGACAAGCGTTCCAGCTGGGAGTCCCTCCATTAGCGCTGGCAAGGAGCAGCCGAAGTGCCTGCCAACATCCAAGTGCTACATCATCTCTACGTGCACAGGAGTGGATCTATTGGCATTCGTACCTGTTGGTTTAAATTTACACTCCTTCCTGTGAAAGCTTAAAGTAGAAATGTTGGCACCTGAAATCCTGTAATCACCGGCTCCAGCCCCGGACCGAGCCACACTGGCAGGAGAAGGGCTTGAACTGACTGCAATCAGCCACAAGGCAAAATTTAGCTTTTTCCTCCCAGAAGGAGGAAACTGAAATCTGCTTTTACAACAGAATCGTCTGGGATTTTATTGTTTTAACTTTAATCACGGGAATAGTCTATATGGACACGGAGTAAATAATTCCCCAAAGGAAATGGGAACAATTAACTCTTAGCATAGGAAGAGAAAAGGAAGAGTGAAGTTAGAGAAATATCAGACTGGCAGCCCAGTCATTTAAGTTCCTGCACTGTAATTCTGTTGGTGTAACTGTAGAAATCATATTAAAACAGCAAAACAAAACCCGAGCCATTCCTTTAGGTGCTGCCTAATATTTGTAAATGCATCCTCAGAAAAACTACCTTAAAACCAGAATAGGAGTCGTGAAAACTGAAGAGATTTTAAATCAAATACTTAGACTCCTTCTCCCGGGGGATTCCCGTGGTGAGCATACGTGCGAGGGAGCTGCTGTTTAAAACGAACTTTCAAATCTGGCAGAGCGGGGCGGAAGGAGAAAGCCTTCCAGGGAGCATCCCCTCCGCCACCGCCTCGAGGGCTGCTGCTCGTGAAGGGCTACGAAGATGTGTTGGGGTGGAGGGGGGATCAACCCCCCCAAAAAACCCCAAAAAACCCCCCAAAAGTGTTTCGGGTTGTCACTTGGAAAAAAAAAGCAGAACCCAGACCCCAAAACCCAGAGGGTTTTGTAATTGTCGTTCTGCAAAACGAGGGCGGCGAAGCGGCGCAGCGCCCGCCGGTGGCCGCTCCGCGCTGGGAGGGGACGGGGCGCCCCGAAAGGCGGGTGGCGATGGACACGGCCATCCCTCCCCGGACGGCAGCCACACGCCAGGGGTTTCTGTATGTTTGTGGTTTTTTTTTTTTTTTTTTTTTCAAACTTCCCATCTAAAATCTCATCAACAAAACATCACCCGCCCCGCGGCTCTCCCCACATTTATCCATCTCTCAGTGAACACACGGCTCCTGCCGCCGGGAGTGACCCTGTCATCGGCGGCTGCAAAAACATAAACGAGGAGCCCGCCGGGATGCTCCCAGGAGCGCTCCCCATCCATTTGAGCAGCGAAACGCGCCATCCAGCCGCGCCGGTCACCCGCTCCCTGCGCGGCCGCGCACTGTGCGCGGGGCTCTGCTCGCCGCGGTGTCACCGCCGGGGCCGGCGACAGCGGCACAGGCCTCTCCTCCCACCGCAGCCGCCGGGAGCTGAGAAGCGCTGCAGGGGAGCGAGAGCAGGGGCGGGGACGGGCGGCGCCGCGTCGCCCCGGGGGTCCCGAGGACGGTGGGGGACCCTGCGCGTCCCCGCCCGGCGGGCAGCCCGTGTGCGGCGGGGCTGCCGCTGCCGCCGGGCTCGGCGAACGCCCGGCGACTTCGGCCGGGCAGGAGAGGCGCTCCCGGTCTCTCGGGGCGCGGTGGAAGCGCTCTCTCCGCCCAGGCGCGGCAGAGCATCTCTCCCGGGCCGCTTCTCCCCCTCCCCGCGGCCGCTCCGGGCGGCTGCACGCTGTGTCCCCCCCGTGTGGAGTGTCCCCGCCCCCGCCGGGACGCTGCTTGCTGCGCCTGGGCAAACACCCGCCCGGGCAAACATCCTGAGGGGCAGGTGCTGCCGTGACAGAGGGTCCTCGGCGGGTGATGCATGGGCGGCGCGCAGCTGCCCGGTAATCCCCGCCGGCGGCGCTCAGCGCCGGGCAGTGCGGGGGCGAGCCCCGCTTCCCGGGCGCGGAAAGGCGCTGCACCTGCCCCTGAAGTTGTGCGACGGAGATGCTGGCGATGCTGACAGCTTCCTCTCGGAGCGCGGAGTTGCTCCGCGGCCCCGGCCCGGGGGGGCGGTGCGGGCGCCCGGCAAGGCAGAGCACGGGAGCCGCTCGCTGCCGCCACGGGGATGCTCGCAGGTGCCACTTGTCCCTTGCCCCGGTGAGGAGCGGCGGGTGCCGCCGCCAGCGCTCCCTCCTCTGCCGAGGTGTGCTCCCCTCGGGCAGCGATCGGCGCTGCCGCCCGCCGTGCCCCTGCCCCGCTGCACATCCCACCGGTGCGGAACCCCCGCCACCCACACGCGGCTGCTGCTGTCGGGGCACCGGCAGAGCGCCGGGTACGCCCGGGCTGCGCGGCGGCCACCGGGGGAGGGCGGGAATTCCCGGGGAGGGAGCGGCCCCGCTCTGCAATGCGGTCCCACTGCTGCAGAGGTCGCCACGCGGGAGCGGTGCAGCGGCAGCGGCCCCCCCGCCCCGGCCGCGCCGCGCCCCGCGTTTTTTGTGAATGGGACCCTCAAGGAGCGGGCCATGACGTCACCGCCGGGCCCAATGGAGGAGCGGGCCCCGTCGGGCGGCCGGCGCGGTGATTGGCTGGCGGGCGCGCGCGGGCGCCCACGCAGGCGGCGGCGGCGGCAGGTATAAAGGGGGCGGCGGGCAGTGCGTGACACCGCGGATCGGCGGCGACACCGGCACCGCGCCCGCTCCTGCGCTCCGCTCCGCACCCGGTAAGCGCCGCGCCGCGGCTCCCTGCGCGGGGCTCTGGTACCGCCCTTCATGGGCTCCTGTACGCGGGGCAGCGAGAGCCACGGCGGCGGGGACAGTTCTTCCCCGCTCGGGCGCTTCCTCGCCCCGCCGATGCGGCGTGTCCGGCCAGGACAAAGTGCTGCGGCAAAGGTCACGGCCGGGGAGCCGCGGGGAAGAGGGGCATCCTTTGGAAGTGGGGTTGTGGTTCCCGTCGAGTACTGGGAGCTGGCAAAAATGAGGATGATGTGGTGGTTGTGATGTGCTCCTTGGAGTGCAAGGCACTGATGTTGTGAGAGAGGTGTATCTGAAATCTTAAGTAATAGATATTTTTACAGATTTTGTGCTTGTGGCTGATTTTTGACTTATCCTCTTCTCTGGTTTCAGAGTAGAAGTATTTATTGAAATTAAGCTACTTAATTCTTAGTGTGATCTGAACTGGGGTGTTAGTGTGCTGGCTGGCAAGAAGCAAGCAGCTTCAGGTAAAGTGCTAACAAGGGCACTTGGTTCTCAAAAATGTTAAACACTTATTTGTTTTTCCTTGTGATTTGTATCTGTCCATGTCAGACACACAGTCTGTGACATTGTGTGCAGTAGTTAGAGGGACATATTTTCTGCCAGTTTGAGGAAAAGTGATTAAGTTGAATGCAAATAGCTGCAGGTCTTAAAAGCCACATTTTTCTGCCCTGTAATAGAGCCAAGCTATAATAAAATTTTGAGAAAACTAAAGCACAACAGCAATAATCAAAATAAACAAAAAGGTGGATTTAAAATATAATGCGTTTCATATTTGTGCTACTTGTGGCTGGGAGGCAATGACCTCTTTAGTGGAACTTGCAGGATTGAGAGGGTTGGAAAACAGCCATTGCTTGATGTACCTCTTTGTTGTAGAGAGGAAATCATGGTTATGCTGAAGATTTCATCTTTCCTTGCTGTTTATGCCTTGGTTGTGTGCCAGATGGACAGCTTCCAGGCAGCCCCAGTCAGGTAAGAAGCTGGTCCTGTTGCTGAGTGCTCTGTCTGAATGGCATGAAAATGCTTAATATTCTTGAGAGGTCCAGGAGGGAAACAGACCACGGTGAAGGAGAAAGGTGGCTGCTGCTTTTTGTGCTGGGGCGTTTTGATTCCATCTTTAAACCGCCCAAGGCTGCGCGTGAGGACAGCGCATCGGGCTTTGCACATTCACACCCTGAAAGGCACTGTCAATGACACACAGCCTGCCAAACCCCTCTCTCTGCAGCACTCTGGGGTTTACTCACCCTGTTTCCCTTGCCTCTGCCTAGACCTGGCTTGGAGTCCATAACGGATCGAGTGACTCTCAGTGATTACGAAGCTCGCAGGTTATTAAATGCGCTGGTGAAAGAGTTCATACAGATGACAGCAGAAGAGCTGGAGCAAGCCTCCGAGGGGAACAGGTAAGGACTGCAGTCCTGGGTACCAGAAAAGCAATGTGGGAATGTTATATGTTTGATATTAAGCAAAAAGCCATTTGGGCAGACTCTCTGCAGGTCAAGATCTTTCTGTTTTCTTGGGATTGTGGCTAACTGGTAAAGGATGATACTGCAGTATCATCCTAGTGTTGGTGTCAAGGGAACAGCTTCTATCTAGTTAACCTGCCTCTATCTGTCTCTTCTGAAAGTGGAGGGCGATTTGAGCTTGAATGAGTAGGTTGTGTTAAAATATGGCAGCAAAAGGTATGTCTTCCCAGTGGGAGTGTTAGGGCATTACTCAGTCACTCTTGGATTCTCTGTCGTGCAAGTGCATGCTGTTGTAAGGCATGGAAAGTCCCTGGCAGGAGGGATGTGTTCCTCCTGATGCACGCAGCACCACTCTCCCTGGGACCAAAGGCATGCAGGAGCATTTGCATTATCCTAACAGGATTTGCATTGCAATGCATGGGGATGGATGAGACACTGAACAGCATGCGGGATATGGGGGAAGTTCAACTTCCTGACCTCTGACTGTATGAGCATCCAAAAGGCTAATGGACTTGCTTGTCAGCAAAACTGGATTCATTAACAAATGGTGTTTTCCTTCTGACTGCTTTCGTATGGACTTGCCTTGCATGGAATGTGATGTGGAGGGTTTGGATTTATTTTGAATGAATTTTTAAGTTTCTTAACGGTAGATCTTGTATGCAGGGAAGAAATGCATGAATGTGCATGCTTGAGGTTACTCTTCCTTTGGGCATGTTTTTATTTTTTTTCCCCCCTGCAGCCTGGATAAACCCATTTCCAAACGCTGTGCCAGTCTGAGTACTTGTGTGCTGGGCAAACTGTCTCAAGAATTGCACAAATTGCAAACTTACCCTCGCACTGACGTCGGGGCTGGAACTCCTGGCAAGAAACGGAATGTGCTGAGTGACCTGGAACATGAACGCTATGCAAACTATGGGGAACCCCTAGGAAACAACTAGACATGCTTATTTCTCCCCCTTTCCCTTTTTTAACCTGATGCATGTGGATATAACTTTGATTGCTAACTTTGCTGTGTTCTTTTGATTCTGTTTTTGACAGAGAATGTTTGAGATGGACCTAATGTTAGGAAGACCGAGAATATAACATGCATACCACACTAGGGGAAAAAATAAATAAAAATGATCAGCACTGCCTTGACATTCCAAATGATTTTTTTAGACCTTGATTAAAAAAAAAATCTTAAAAAGTTTCTTCATTTCTGGCTGCTAAATGTACAAGTAGATTCTTTTGTGCTTACCCATGCACTTGTTCAATAAACCTATTTTTCTATAAGGGTTAGATTTTCTTGGTTTAACATTTTGATTTAGAATGTGAGATTTCTAGATAAGGTTAGAAAAATTTTACAACTTGTCTTAGTGTTCAGGAGAGGCAATGCTAGTAACTTCTAGAAAAGTTCAAAGAGAGCTTAAAGTCAAAGTTCTACATATAAATTGATACGTACTGCTGTAATCAGGCATGCATGCAATCCTGTTGGTAGGGATCCTGAGAAGCAAAGAAATCAGGAAGGCTCATACATACTCATTCTAACAAACTAGAAATGTAATCCTGTTTAAAATTGGGTACTGAACATGTCCAGGTAAGAATTTTGTGGTCTTTTTATTTTCTTATTTTACAATAGGTCTTTGCTCTATTTTTAAAACTTATGTACCTTTTAAAATATTTGTGTTGATTTGCAATTCCCCTACCTTGTCTTGCATTAAGAGCCAAACCCATATTTCTTTACAGTTCTGTTACAGCACTGCATCTATCTTGTAATTAGAGGCCTCTTTTAAAAACTTGGCATTGATTGTAAAAACAACTCTTCATTGTTAAAATTAATAAACTGCCTTGTGATGCTTAGCTGAGAAAAATCCCTCCTACTGCAAGAAAAACTCATTGCTTTAGTAGGAAATTCTTCAAGCAAGGATTGTGTGAATGCATATTCCTTGAAGTTCCCCATCTAGCACAACTCTTGGCTGTAGGCTGAATTGTGAGCGGAGAACTAATACTGTCACAGTCTGAACTGCCCCATGGTGAAGTTCTGTAATAGACAGAGGTCTAACTGGAGGAAAGAGAGGTTCTCCCATTCCCACTAAGCACCTGGAAGCAGTGTCTTTGTGTGTGGTTCACCTCTGAAGGCAGCTAGTCAGAGTCACTGGCAGAGCTCCTGTAGTGACCAGTGATGCTGCAATTCCATGTGTTTTCTGGCTGTTGGGGAGCACAGGTGTTGGAGTGAGAAGTGAAAAATCTGTGTTGGCTGCTGCCTTTCAGGAACACCTCAAGCAAAATACAAATGTGAGCTTTTGGAGGAGGAGGAGGGGGTTGTTGAAATTCTCCAGATCTGAACCTCCTCAGTTCCTTACCATGGCCATAATGCCTGGCTGGAGGCAGGCAGTAGCCCAGGTGTGGCTGAGAATCTGGCCTGGATTTAGTCTTCAGTCCAGCTCCTTTTATAAAGTGAGTCTGAAGCTGAGAAAACCATGAAGAGGCTTCTTTTAGCAGTTATAATCTGTGCACAGAAGCTGCATGTGCCTGCTGCACAGCCAGCCTACTTTTAATCCTGCAGCAGAGCCTTTGCTAGCCATAGTCATGTCTCACTGCGTGCAGGGTTCATGCTGCAGGAACTAACTCTTCCTTTTCCTCCTGAAAAGCAGTGTAACAGCACAGAAGAGGGCCTGCAACACAGCCACCTGTGTGACCCACCGCCTGGCAGACTTCCTGAGCAGGTCAGGGGCAGTGGGCAAGAACAACTTCGTCCCAACCAACGTGGGCTCCAAGGCCTTCGGCAGGCGAAGAAGGAGCGTCCAGATATAAGGAGCTGAACACGGTAAATGCACAGCACCAAACAGGGCCTGGGGCATCACCGGTGTTTGAGTTGTGTGGGGGGAATACCAGACCTGCAGTGGTCACCTCTGAGAAGAGAGGGGGACTCAGAGTGTGAAAAGAAAAAAGATGTGACAGATAGAACAAAGATGTGTACAAGAGTTTTTGGAGATGTTCTGCTTGGGTAGCCACCTTCACAGTGCATTAACTAAACACAGCAATTTGGTTGGAATTGTTTGCTTGTTTAACACTAACATTTCATTATCAAGTATCAGTAACTCTGCTGTTCTTTATTACAGATTGCAATGAAACTGAAAACTCGACTTTAATTTCTAATGGAAGCAACTCTTCTTCATAAACCAAGACCACCAAAAAGATTAATTTTTCATCCTACTATTGAAAATGTTTTATTTAATACAAATGAAAACACTTCTGTTATGTATAGTAAAAGAGAATCTAGTTATTAAAGTTAAATTATTGTATATTCTTTTTATATGCAACTCTATTTCAAATAAAATGTGACGGCATCTATTATTTATTTATCTTCCAGCTTATGTGATCCATGCTATTTATCCTGGCCCTACTGCCAAATCTCGGGGATTATACTAAACTGCTGCCTGGCAAGGCATATGTGTATTATACAGTGTGCTGTGCCTTGATGTAAAACACTTAACTATCCTGATTGTACAGTATGTTTAAAAAAAAAAAAAGAAATCACTTCAGTATTGTATTACTTGTGAATTTACGCAAAATTAAAAAAAGTATTTTAGATACACTTGGATTGAGAAACTGATTTTTCATTTGGACATGCTTCTGAAGATATGTGGCACCAAGCCAACATCACTGCAGATCAGCTAGTCCATTGATCTGCTCTAGCCTTATTAACTATAAATACTAGGGTTTGGGGCAAAAGTTCAGAACAGAAAGAATAGATGCTTTATATATATATGTTAAAAAAAAACCCAAAGGAACCAAATGACACCACTTAGACTTCTGCCAGAAAAATAAGATGAAGCCACAGGTACATCTAGTAAAAACTTGGGGCTACATTTCATTGTGTAGTTTAAAACGAAATCTTTTTATACAGGCAATAGTTCAGATGAAGCAGCCTGACATCCGCTGTAGATTTTTGTGTAAAGTCAAAAAAGTGAAGTAGGAAGAGAAAGAGAAGCTACAGAAACGTACATTTCTTTGAAGCAATCCTGAGACAGAGTCTATTTAGGGACCAGGGATAAATAATTAGAGTGAGTGGAGAAGAGGGTAGCTGGATCCATTCCATGGACTTCTAAGTGGTGCTGCCAACTTCCTTCTCAAAGCTGCTGCTGTTTCAGTTTAGTAGCTGAGTCAGATATTTGTTTAGATTTGTTTCGTGCTTTACAGCCTGACCCTAAAATCTGCTTCATCAATTCAGATGAATCCCAGAATGGGTGAGGGAAGAGGCCACAGGGCACCATGTGGTGCCACCTCTCTGCTCCAGCAGGGTCATCCTGCAGCACAGAGCACAGGATTGCATCCAGAGGGTTCTGGCTTATCTCCAGTGAGGGAGACTCCTCCTCGTTGTGCAAAGCAGAGGTGGAGGTTCTCACGCTGTCTCTGTGTCTCTGCTGCAGGTGTCACAAAGAGGAGCTTGGCCAGCCTGGTGTGGACAGTGAGGCCACCCAGGGACTTCCAGTCCGTGCTCGTTCCTGGCTGCGGGTTCACTCCTCGGGGAGCAGCAGCCCTGGTAAGTCAGTGTACAAAGCAGGCCTTGTAGGAGATGAACCCCTGCACTGTCTTTGTGCAAGGATCTGCTTGGGTTAGGCCAAACTGCCAGTTTTTGAGTATGTAAGTGTTTGTTGCTATGTTTCAGGTGTTTTTCCCCATTTTTCTTTACACAAAGTAGGGGTCATAGGCTGGGATTGCCTGGCAGCCTCAGCAACACCTTTCCCTGTCACTGCCAATCCTTTGGGCACAGGTGGCCACTTGTTTCCTTTGTTTCCTAATACAGCACTCAGCTGTTTAATCTTTTCCAAGACAGAATGTTAAGTACAATTATTGGGGTGAATACATGTATTTTAGTGATTCATATTAAATAAGAAGCCAGGCAATGCCCATAGGCCCCTTCTGGCTTTAAAGTCTAAATGGTCAGGCAGTTTATTTTTTCCCATTTACAGCCATTCTCTGCTGAGAGACACCTGAGGCTCTGCATAATTGAATGCCAGCTGTATATCCATCTAATCTAAAAACTATTAGTCCCTCTTTTCAGTTTAACAAAGTTATGCAAGGGATTTCCCCAGACCAACACTGTACACCACAGCACAAACCTGACACATAAAACACTCAAGTAGCCTTGGTGCTATATCTTGTCCTGGGTATAGGAAAATTGTGTGAAACTTTTGATACATGGTTTTTGTGCTGATTGTTTTTTTTCTTTTTCCTTAGGAAGAACTAGCTACCTTCCCACCTCAAGATTTATTCCTGTTATATCTTCTGTCTCATTTCTCCTTAGGATCTCTGTGTGCACATCAATGCAATACACTGAGCAGTACATATCCCTGTAAAGGAAAGAGGGTTGAGCACTAAGGAAGCAAGGGGGAATGCAAAAAAACTTTTCCGTGATGTGAAGGGATAGAAGCCCTTCACCACAAAACTGAGATGCTCAGAGCTGTGGAAGAAGCAGATTGTTATTGAAACTAGAGAAAAGCAGAGTTGTAAACAGTAATATTTTAAGTAAAAAATTGATAGTTTTATGGCAGTAAACATGGTAGAAGGAATTGCAAAGCTGCTAGAAGATTGTTAATGTCTTTGACTGACTGTGAAAAAGTGGAAGAAATTGCTTCCATTTTAAAAAGGTACTGTTCTGGGTAATATTACCCAAACTTGTCAGCTCTCAAGTAAACCCCAAACTTCTACTCCAGGAGAAGAGCTATTTTGGAATTAGCATTTAAAAAGGAAAAATATTGTTTTTAGTGTATTTTTCTTTCCATTTTAATACATTGCCATTCTAAGAATACTTGGAGCTGGTGGAAAGTGTAACATTGGTGCAGGATATGTGAGTGACACCAAACCCAAGTTACTTAGCATTCAGTATTCATGCACTAGTGTCTATGTTCTTGTTTATGAGGCAATATCAGCCTGACTGTAGTTTGGTTCTAATATTTTTAGATGTCTGTGTGTGTTTCCTTTAACTACTAAGTTTTTTTTTTTTTGGGGTTGTTGTTTTTTTTTTGTTTTTATCTGCTTGCAAATGAAGTCTTGGGAGAGTACTTTGCGAGCAAAAGCAAAACCAGGAGAAATTTCTGAGAAAGAAAGGGGACAGGTGGTGGTCTGCTCCTAGAGCTGACTCAGTTTTTGATTCAGGATCATTCACCCGGACATTGCTGCCCACACTGATAGAGCATCATTTTGAAATAACCCAAGTGGACTTCCACTGTGGCAATTTTTTTTTTCCTTCTGTTAGTGAAATTTAATTCATCTTCCTGAAAGCTTCCATTATCTGCAGTGTGAGAAAGGAGCAGAGCTAATGTTATTGCTTCTGACACTGAACACTGCCAAAAGCAACTTATATCAGGCAGTAGTAAATTTTGGTATTGGTTATCTAATCCAGCATTGTCATGTCTAATTAGCAGATTGAACATCTCTAAGAGGTGAAGAGTTTAAAACATGCTGGAGAGTTCGGATCTGTGCATTTTTTCTGGGCTGAACTGTCTCAGAACAGGTGAATACTTATTAGAGATAAACTGGGTGCTTCAAGCCTGGCTTCACCCAGGTTGAGCACTGGCAGCTTGGTTCCAAACTGTTCACAATCACTGCCTCTGGCAGGCAGCTGAAGGCTGTCCTGGCAGCTCAAAGGGCTCAGCATGGAGCACACCTTTGCTGGTTTCTTTACTGTTCTAAAAGGCTCCACATCCTTTCCCTGTTCTCCACTTTGGATGCTCCTCATGCCTTCTAAAATTATTTTCTGCAGAAAATGTCCAAGGAGTATAGTACCCCTCTTTTTTCTTTTTTCTTTTTTTTTTTTTTTTTTTTTTTTCCACAGAAAGGAAATCATTCCCATTTCCAAATTACACCTGGCATTGTCACACTTTCTCTGTGAACTTTCCAATCTCTGTGAGATTTCTGATTCAATGGAGTAATCAGAATCATTGCAACATTTATCTTTTTTTTCTATTCTTGGCTTCACCACAGCTCTTATTTTCACCAATTACTCTTTTGGCTGGGGCTGAGCTGTGATCCCAGCTAAATTATTAGTGTCATCTCCACGAAAGCAAATAATTGCCTTGCAGTCTGAGAGTGAAGCTCGAGTGCTTTAAAAATGGAACAATTTGTGTGATTTCCAACGGTGGGTGCGAGGCAGCCTTGCCTGGGAGCTGCCTGGCAGACCCCCCAGGTGTCCCCCTGAGAGGCCACCTCTCCCTCCGGAGCACAGAAGGGGGACAGGACAGCCAGGTTTGCAGTCACTAGCTCCTCTCCTCCCCCAGCTGTGTGACCCAGGATCTGGGTGTGCTGGAGAGTGCCTCCTCCTCCTCCTCCACTTCTGCCAGGGCTGATGGAGGCAGCAGGCTCGTGGCAGGACCTCTGGAGACTTGGAAAGAGGAGCTCATGCTGGAGCAGGTCTGTTGGGAGGACTTGTGACCCCATGAGGGACCTGTGCTGGAGCAGCCTGCTCCTGAAGGACTGCACTCTATGGAAAGGGAGCAATGCTGGAGCAGTTCATGAAGTGCAGCCATGGGAAAGACTCACACTGGGAAAGGTGGAGGACTTTCTCCTGTGGAGGGGCCCCTCTCTGGAGCAGGGGAGGAGTGTGAGGAGTCCTCCCCAGGAGGAGTAAGGAGCAGCAGAAGCAGCGTGTGATGGACTGACCACAGCTGTCATTCCCCAGCACCCTGCACTGCTGGGAGTGGGGACAAGGTAGAGAAACTGGGAGTAAAGTTACACCTGGGAAGAAGAGAGCTGGGGGGAGGTTGGTTTTACTTATTATTATTTAACTGTGACGTGATTGTAATAAATTAAATTGATTTCTACAAGTTTAGCCTGCTTTGCCCATGCCAGTGAGTGCTGAGTGATCTCTCGCTGTTCTTATCTCGTCCCATGAACCTTTCATTATATTTTCCCTCCTATGTGTAGCTGAGGGTGGAGAGTGACAGAGTGAATTTGGTGGGCACCTGGAGTCTAGCCAGGGTCAACCCACCACTCTAAAGGAACATAATCATGAGGCTATGTGGAGCCTTTATAGTTTTTTTGTAGCTTTGCAAACACTTAGAATGTCCAAATATATTGTGTCAGACACATTAATTTTCACGTTATTCTGCTGACATGCTTGAAGGGCTGTTACAGGTCTTCACTGTCTTTTGTTGTGGAAGGAGACAATTATTCTAGTTAGCATATGTTCCTAAAATAGTTGACTAAATAGTTTATAATTCCATTTTTATCTCATGAAAGGACCATGATTTTATGTGGAGCCATATCAAAGTTGTTATTTGTAGTGGGTAGGAATGGCCTGTTTCTGGAAATGAATTCCTGGAAAGTGCATCAGGGGAAGGATGAAAATCCTTGTAGTTCAGTGAATTCCATGTGTACAGGCAAATTTTACTTATGGAACAGTCTTACTAGCTTAGGGGAACTTTTTAGCATGTCAATCCTGCTAGACAGGCTGAAGAAGACAATGTTGCCAGGGTCATTCTTGAGTGTGTACATTTTCCAAGGAAGGTTTCCCTCTTAGTTAATGCAGTCCTTCTTTATCATTCTGTAATTAAAGATACTATCTAAGAGTTAAATTAGTTATGAAAATGAATATTGATTGTTGTTCTTAATGCAATAGAAGCAGAGAATTACATAGAAAAAGGAAATGGTTCTGACCTTCAAATACTGGAAATACAGAGTTTAAATGACAACTGCCATAGTTTTTGTTTAAAAGGCTTACAGATAAGCAGATGAGAAACCAAGCCATTGAAGCACTCTATGCACATTGAAAGTGAATTCAAAGATTTTTTAAATAAACTTTTTGCTTTGGCTGTCTCTAGTTTAAGCCTAGTCTTGGTAAGGTTGCACACTTCAGTGGACAAAAGGTTTGTTTGCATTATGTGAAGATGCTATTTGCTTCTTCATGGCTTAGGTTCTCAGAAGAAACAAAATATCTTTATTGCATCTTTTCCTAATAGACAGTGGCAGAGCACTGGATTTGTAACTGTGTGTTTTAAAACCACATACATTTAGTATTTAACTTGATGAAGTGCCTTTGTGATTGAAGTTTTTGGTAGGATTTGTGTCCCTATTCTGTTATTCTGGTGACTTTCTCCTCAACAAAAGTTTCATTGCCTGTTTGTTATCACTTGATAGATTTGCAGAAGCTGCACCTCATGGGCTGCCACTGGTGCCACTGCAGTGATGTGGCAGGTAGGATTGGAGGTCAAGCCTCTACTCTTACAGAGACCTGTAATCTGACAGGTGAAGAACACTTCTAGTTCAGGTGCTTTGGATGATATGTCAAGATAAAATTAACTTGGGTTGTCTCTCACAGCCAGCCAGCTTTAAGCTGATCATGCTCCATCAGCCTCCTAAGCTCCAAGAAAACTGCTTTTCCCATCAGGTTGTTGTGGGTTCTCTAGCTGTGGACACCAGGATTATCTTTTCTTATGGCCAATTCCCCTCCCCAGCCAGGTGCTGCTCTCATATCAGAAGTTCAACCTGAAACCTGCTGGGTGTCACAAAGTACAGCCTCTGGCCTGCCACTTGTGCATCAGG